AGCTCCTGGAGCAGTGAAGAGTCCAGCAGAGCTCTTTCTGGCTGTCCCCCTGTCTCAGAAACAACTTGTACCTCCTATTAGTAGTGCTCATCTCCACAATCAAAGTTGGTCAGAAGCAGGGGGCGGGGTGCAAGATCTACTCATGTACTCATTCAGCAGCTGTGCCCTGAGCACTCACCCTGTGCCAGGTGCCCTGGTGGGCCAAAGTTCAGGATGAAAATGAACCAAGTGGTCCCTGCCTGCCAGGAGCTCACAGTCTAGAGGGGAAATGGACAAAAGCAAAGACACAAGAAAGAAAAGAGCAAGTGCTGTAGAGAAACACAGCAGGGGGCTGTGAGGGAGGGCTGGGCGTCACTGGGTAGGAGGGTCTGAAAGGCCTCTCTAGGGTGACATTTTCTGGGACCAGGATGACAAGAAGGAGCCAGCCCTGCACGACTCTGGGAGCAGTGTGTCACGGAGATGGCACCACTGGCCCTGAGTCTCACAGACAGAAGTGAGTTTGGCCAGAGGAGGTTAGAAAGGTGGCCAGTGTGGCTGGAGGGAAGCTGGGAGGAGAGAACAGGAGCTGGGGTTGAAGGTAGGGCCAGGGCCTGGTAGGCTGTGTCAGTTACCTTTCCCTCTCTGACTTCATTGCCCCTAACCTTGCATTTCAAAACTACAAATGTTGACTATCTCACAATTTGTGTGGATCAGCAATCAGGCATGTTTTAGCTTGGTGCCTCTGCCTCAGTGAGTTTAACAGGTTGGGGCTGTGGCCTCAACTGAGGCTTGACTGGGAGAGGACTGACCCCCAGGTTCACCTTCAGCCTTCACGGTTCAGTTTGGACTGAGAGCCTGAGTTCCTTTCCGTCTGTTGGCCTGGGCACTCCCGTGCTTCTCTCCTCAATGGGCCTCCACAATGGGCAGCACCAATACACCGGTATTTGATTCTTCAGTTCCAGGGATTCGACAGAGAGAGAGAGAGAGAGAGAGATGAAATATGAGAGAGGGAGTAAGAGGAAGTGAGAGACTTTTTTACTTAAAATTTAGACAAGACATCCCATCACTTTGGCTGTTATTATGTTCAGAAGCCAGTTACTAACCACTTAGTTGTTCCACGGGGATGGCTATAATATGGATGGGGCTTACTGGGTACCACTGTGGAGGCTGCCCACCTTGTAGGCCAAAATGAGGCACTTGAGTCTCACTCTCCATAAAACAGGAAACAATTGAATGGTTTCATGCCACAGGATGGCAATATCTGGATTTCCATTAGTTGCAACCACCTCATGATGCTGACCTGAAAATGACGTCAAGTTGGAAGTGACTGTCTCAATATCACATTCCTGGAACCCAGGCCTGTTTTGAGTGGTGTTCTGTACTACATCTCACCTCTCTTTTTTATTCTTCCATCTCTAAGTTTGTGCCTTAGGTACATGTGACACCAGCCCACAGGGGTAATAGATATTATCTCATATTTGTGGGTGACATCTCTAGGAAGTAGATTCTAGCCTGATCCCCATGGTGCAGCTTTGGAGACTGGGGAAGACCTGAGAGGCACAGGGATTTTCCCAGGTTGCAGAACTGGTAAGAAAAAGGAGGTCTGCATTCATCTCTGTGTCCTCAAAGCTAGGACCCTCTTAGGTTTCCAGGGAGCTATGGCTAGGGCTGTGTGGGCTCCCTGCATACAGTTTAGGAGATGACATGGTGTCATAGACCTCAACAGATCTTATAACTCTCGTAACCAGGCACCTACAGCCCTCCACCTAGATCACTTGATTGGAGAAAGTCAACAGGCAAAGATGTTTTGCTGTTGTTTCCCAACTTTTGGAGGATCTGGGCTCAAAAAAGCCCAGAAAGAATATTTTTGGTAGTTTCCGACATTGGCTCAGCCCTCATCCCCGATGCCTCTGGGCATCTGGCAGGAGGCAGTGAAAGGTAACACGGGGCAGCACAGGAAAGGCTAGTGCAGGCCAGGGCACAGCTGTGATCCCACCTGATCAGCCCCACACCCCTTGCCCCTCTTTGTGTGTGTGTGTGTGCATGTGTCTGTGTGGAGGGGGGAAGGCAGGGCATGAGGGGCAGGTCATTCCTAGGCAGGAGCTGGTTGTTAGGTGTCGGAAGCCTGGTGGGTCTGTCATGTTCATACCCCGGGTCATGGCTGGCAGCATGAGAAGGTGAGCTCCTCTACTCATATGTTACAGAGACCTAGACTTTTCATCTTCCTCCCTCCCTGATCAGAGTTCTTTGCAAGGATGCCCTTCTCTGCCTGAACTGAGGAGCAGACGTTCTCTTGGGGTTGACCCCAGTGGCAGTGTGCAGGCAGCCCCTGATTCCTTCTGGCCCAGCTCCCGGGCAGTCTTTGCAGAACTCCACTCAGGAGGTCGTCGAGGAGCTGCCCAATGGTTTCAACTCAACCAACTCACTAGACAAGGGGCAGGTGCATGAGGCCACAAACACCATCCAGTGCTGCTCTGAGATGAGAGCAGGAGCAGAAGGCCTCCACACTCAGGACCTTGAGATGACGGGGTTGGACCAGAACTAGAGCAGCACCAGACTGGGGCTGTCTTTTTTCAAGCTAAAGGGGATGTACATGCAGGTAACCTTGCCTGGTTCAGAGCTGAGCTGCCCTGATCCTCTTTCCCTTACCCAGTGTGAGCTTCTGGAGGCCACTGAGGCAGAGCCAGAGGGTAAGGGGGACTGCAGGCTGGGTATTCCTGGAAAGGAAGTGGGATCTTTCCTGTGTTTAGAAGGACACATGGAAAGTCAGCTATGTGAGTGAACCTTTCTTTTTATCTTGCTCCAGCGCCAGCTGCAGAACTCCAGCCAGCGGCAGAAGCAGAGCAGTGGGCAGTGGTGGAGGTAGAGCTGGCTCCAGCTCCATTGACATCACCCCCTCTAGCGCTGCAGCCAGTGTCCCCTCCCTCAGCAGTATTGGAGCTGGAGCAAGGGCCAACATCAGCTCCAGCAGGAGTGGGAGCTTCTGAGCTAGAGTCACCTGGACCATCATTTTCTAGTGGGAAGTCCATCTCCACCTGTGGCTCTTAAGGAGCGTGAGAAGAAGCCCAACCTCACGGCCTTCCCTCCTAAGCTGGTTGTGGAGCAGTTGACCATGATGTATGCAGTGAGCAGCTGGGCTCTCAGGGCGGGTGGGGTAGACCTTCTCTCTGCCATCGTTGCCTCAGACCTGATGCGGACTCTTATGATCTGGGCCCAAATCTCAGCTGCATCCCTTACCAACCGTACGACCTGGGCAACTCTCTGAACCCCCAAGCCTTTGCTGTCCACCTCCAGACCGTAGAGGTGGACACTAACAGGACCTGCTGCACAGAGTGGCTGTGCCGACTCCATGAGGTAGAAGAGACAGAAAGGTGGGCAGGGCCTGACACATCAGTGTGGGGGGGTCACTGTGTGCAGCCAGATCCTTGGTGGCCCAACCGGCTGCTCAGGAGGCTCAACAGCTTCAGGACTTATTAGACACCTGATGTGTACTTCACTACAAGGGAGACAGACAAGGCCCGTGGTTGTAGCTGCCACGGGGGAATGTGCATCAGAATGTGGAGTGGCGGGCCGGCTCCGTGGCTTGGTGGTTAGGTGCGCGCGCTCTGATGCTGGCGGCCCGGGTTCGGATCCTGGGCGCGCCCCGAGGCACCACTTCTCCGTCCAATGCGAGGCCGAGTCCCACGTACAGCAACTAGAAGGATGTGAACCTATGACATACAACTATCTACTGGGGCTTTGGGGGGAAAAAAATGAATAAATAAAATCTTAAAAAAAAAAAAAAAAAAGAATGTGGAGTGGGACCAGAGGGGGATCAGGGTGGTGGAATATGCCCTGTTGAGCCACCGTCTGGAGCTTGGAGTTATCGAGGACGGGCTGGGTGCAAATGCCCCTCTCCCTTCCCTGCCAGTATTGGGTCCTGGGTCATCCTGTGCTGGGTGCCCACAGTGGACAGAGAAGAAAAGCCAGGGACTCTCACAAGGCTCAGACCACATCCTGAGCTTCCTGAGCTCCAGCTCTAAACGGTGACCCCTGTGTGGGACTTTGGGGGCTATGGACACAGAGCTGGGGTGTGGCAGGGCTGGGTGACACTCTCCCTGTGAGTGTTAGTTTTTGGGTCCTAAATGTGCCCTTCTGGGACTCTCTGAGCATCTGTCTCATCCAGGAGGGGAGATTTAAATAGAAGGGGACTGAAGGTAGAGCAAGCGGGGCTCCAGCGCCCCACCTCACAGCTCATTCTCTTCCCTTCCCCAGGAGTGGGAGATCCTGAAGAACTTCTCCTCACCCCACACTGTCATTTCTGTTCTGCAGAAAACCTCCACAAACCATCTGAAGAATACATGAGGAGAAGATTCCCTGTGGGTAAGCCTCTCTCCATAGTAGGACCAGGGTGGATGGGGGATCTCCTGTATGTCTGCCATTGGCCCCTCAGTCAGCTGGGAACTCCTGGGAGGCAGCAAATGCTGGAGACAGGGCCTGGGCCTCGGCAGGGGGTCTCTAAGCTTCCTGCGGTCCTTAGTGCACCAGTTCTGCTTCAGGACTCAGTTTCCCTAAGTGTCAGGTACTGGGTTGAACCAAATTGGAGATTTTCAAGTGTTTATAGCAACAGAACTCTACACCCAGTTGAAACTCAAAGCAGTCAAAACAGAGCTGCTCTGTAGAGCTGGGGAATGGAGACCCCGGTGACGAACAAGAGAGCCCCCTCCCAGTCCCACGAGACCTTAGCACTCAGAGGAGCCCAGTGAGAACACTCCTCCAGGCAGTTTGAATCTCTCGGGTTGTCAACCAAAAGGGATTTGCACTCAGACCCCTCACATTATTCCTAAATTTATCCTTCCTTCTTTCCCTTCCCTTGAGGGAGAGCTCTGAAAAACTTAAGGTGCTCTATAACCAAGACAAGTCCTTGAGCAGAGAACTGACGACCAAGGCAGAGTGGAGGCTGGGGGTCTGGAAAGAGAGGAGGGGTAGGAGAGAGGGGGACTGGGCAGACTGTGGTAATGATAGTTTCTCACTTGAACTTTCTCTGAAACACTCCCATCTATCTTGTCCAGATTAAGAAGCAGAGGGATCTGTTCTGCCCATGGGCAGGTGGGGAGCCGTTTGTGGGCAGGAGACCCTGGTCATGGGACACAGTGGTGTTGGCTGGGCTGTTCCAGGAGGAGTTGCCGAGCTGGCGCCATCAGCAGGTCTCTGGCTTCCATGCATGTCCATCCTGCTGGATGTAGCTTCTTCCAGGCTGTTGGGTGGTTGGGGTGGGTTTAGCCCTCAGCCTAAACCTGTCCTCAGGAAGCCAGGCCTCTGCTGCTCCTGTCTTCACCATGTCTCCAAGGAGAGGGCACTCGGCCTGCCCCAGGTTCGGGCATGGCAGGGGATTCCCGTGGCCCAGGTGGACAAACAGGCTGCTCATCCTTGGGTCTGAATAGCTGCACCAGAGACAGATGTGTGTGCATTCTGGGAGCCCCCCCCGAACCCCTAGAGTAGTCACTCGAGTCAACCACAGGACTCTCACCTGAGTGCCTGGTTGGCAATGACATATACCCCAGGTGGCTTATGAGAAGCATCTAGGCAACTGACGGATTCTTAGTGGATCCTGCTGAAAGGACGTTAGGAGCTTCATGTAAATGAGAGAGTGAAGCATCCTGTCACCCCCTTCCCTGTGGGTCAGAGGTGGCAACTTGTGGGTCCAGTTCCTGAGTGGATAAAGAAAGAGTTCAGTGCAGGGGAATGTCCTGAGGGGTTCCTTGGGGAGGAGAAGGCTTTGGCATGGCCTCTGTCCCAGCCTGGGGGCCAGACACTCCATGAGACTGGGGCAGGCAAGAGCCACTCAACCGGACTCCCAAGACACCCCATCCTCTCCACCCACATCGCAGCCCAGGACCAAGCTTTGAGAGCTCAGGGGACAGGACTGTTGTCAGTGGTGGGGCTGGGGTTTAGGTGAGGATGTTGTAACAGGGCCTCTGGCTGGGAGGGGCAAGCGGCCTCTCCTCTGTGGGCCCCTGAGCAACTCACTGCCCCTGTTTGGGCCTCTGTCTCCTCATCTGGGAAGGGAGGGATGGTGATTGTGTGGTGCAGGCCCCGCAGGGTGGTGATGAGGTAAGAGGGAGGAAAGGAATGTGGGAGCTTTCTGCCTGCTCCACCTGGAGGGGTGAGGGCCAGAACAATGATGACAGTCTTGTGACACTGAGTCCTCAGGAGAACCTGTGAGGTAGCTGGAGTTCTCACACTTTCCAGATGAGGAAACAGGCTCAGGAAGGCCTGGCCACAAGCCCAAGCTCACACCCAGAGTGCGAGTTGGAGCTGGGCTTGTTCTGGAATCACAAGACCTTGGAGGATGGAATGGCATTGGTACCAGTTGACTCAAGCCCGATGTCCGGTGTGGGAGGCCAGTGGTGCTGGAGAGAAATGGGGTGAGGGGAGTATGGCCTCACTGACACTGTCCTCGACCCTGGCAGGAGGGGCCCTCCACGTTTGCCCCCCCGGAGATCAGCCCCCAGAGAGTGCAGGAGAAGCAGCAGCAGCAGCAGCAGCAGGTGGGTGTGCCTGTGGGGGAGGGGCTCTGTGCTCCCAGCTGGAGGCCTCAAATCAAGAGAGGAGGGCCCTTCCTCTTGCTGCCACAGTGTCCGAATCCCCCAGTAGAAGTGACCAGGAGGGCCTGGAAGAGCTGGTGCAGGATGGGTTTGTTGTGGGGAGGGCCAGGGACCGCACACCCTGTGATTTGCCAGAAGCCGGCCCTGGGAGGGGAGGAGGAGGAGTGTGGTGTTCTTGGGGTGTGAAGGGAGGAGGAATTGAGGGGAGGCTGCTAAGGTTCCTAGGCTGCTCCCCGTGGGAACCTGGCGTGGGCCAGGCTGAGGGTGAGGACTTTTCAGAGGAGGACCTGTAGGGAGTTGACTTGAGAGTAAGGGCTTATCCCACTTGCACCCTGATGTCACAGGGTGTCATCCCCTATCTTGGCACTTTCCTCAGTGACCTGCTGATGTTGTACCTGGTGATGGGTGATTATCTCGAGGTTGGTGAACCTGGGGACCAGGCAGAGAGGACCAAGATCCTGATCCTTGTGATGCGGGAGCCCCCAAACTGAGCTCTGAGCTCTCAGCACTTGGCACATCTCTCATGAGAGCCTCGCAGCTGCCCCTGGGAGCTGGGGCATCAGGCCCATCTTAGGGATGAGTGAACAGAGGCTTCACCTGAGCCATCCATTCTGGTTCAGAGCTGCCTGATGGCACAGCTGCGTGAGGTTTTATCTGAGCTGGACTCAGCCACTCCCTCCCATGCTGCCCATGGAGGGAGAGAGAAGTCGGGCCCCCCCAAGTCAGGCAGCACATAAGTGGCTGAGCAGCCCCCTCTGCCTGAGGCCTCAGCCTCCAATCTGTCATCAGAGAGGGTTGTCCTGCCAGGTCCCTCAGCCTCACCCCCATGTGCTCCTTCTCTGGAGCCCAGAGCCTGGCCTAGGTCCAAGTCCTGTTTTCTCTGCATGCCCCGCCCCCTCTGGGGACCTGGCAGTAGTGCAATATGAGAAGGGGTGGGCATAGGGGGCTAGTCAGTCTAGGGGTCTTTGTCTGATGGACTCTGGCTGTCTACCTTCCAGGAAATGAGATCAACCTTGAGAAGAGGACTGAGGTGAGCAGCTGTGACACTCCCTGCAGGGGAGGGGAAGGAGGTGGAAATCAGAGACCCTCTGGGCAGAACAGTCCCTGGTTCCACCCCCTGTATGTTACATTGAGTGGAAGAGTTTGATGACAGAGAAGTGGGAGACCCATCCATTGGCGGGTGGGTTGAGGGGAGGATGGCATCAAGGAAAACTTCCTGGAGGAGGGGTTGATTATTCCCATTCTGAGAACAGGTAGAGCCTGGATGGAACTGGAGGGAAGGAGGGTTCCCAGCACTGGTCTCCTGCCCCACTTCTCACCCCCGACAAGGCCCCTGCAGCATCCCCCACCCAGGCCCTGTCTGCATCCTCTCCTTCCCTCTGGTCCCAGGAATACCGAGTCATGAGGGAGATCCTGCTGCTCCAGGAGGCTGCAAAGAATTACAAACAGAGCCTGAGGAGTGATTTGGTGCCTGGCTCCAGGACATGGAGCTGCTCAACGAGAATGATAGGTGAGGCCGGGCAGGAGTTGGGTGAGGGCAGGGGTGGACTCTCCCTGTTGGCCAGTCCAGAGAGCCTGTCTCCATGGTCCCGCACTCATCCCCAGGCCTTATTACATTGCGACCTCTAGGACACCCAGACTCCAGCTGCTGGGCAAGCAGTGGGGGGACACCTGAGGTGTGGTTCCTGGTAGGCTCACAGGTGCCTCTCTGTCCCCTAGCTACAGCCTGTCTTGCCAGCTGGAGCCCCAGACATAGTTGGCCTGCAGAATACTCAAGGCCAAGAAGAACCGGCCGTCATCAAGGTCAGGGGTGAGTGAGTGTCTGGGCCGGGGTGACTGACTCCTAGGGGTTCAGTAAGGCTTCGGGTTAAGCGTGTCCTTGGGCAGTTGGACAGCTGGCACTGGGATCCCAGCTCCTCTACTGAACACTCCTGTGACTTGGGTGACTCTCTTCAGCTTCCTGAGACTCCATGTCCTCCTCTGTGAAATAGGTGATACTAAATGATCACTCACGTGGCAGAGACAAATGGGGTACTGCTGGCTGACAGCACTGAGCACAGAGTCTGGAGCACCCAGTGCAGTGGGGACAGGGTGGGGGCCATGATTCTGAGGAAGGCCCTCCAAGATAACCTGACTCTTCTACTCAGCCCCCAGGCCCCAACACTGAGCCCCGTGCCAGTGGCCGGTCACAGCCCCATCCTCAGCAGCGGCGACACAGCTGGGATGCTTGCAATGCACCGGGCCAGCTCCTCCCACCTGATGGGAAAGGGAGCATTGTAAGCTGATTCTTGGGGCCCCCTGGAGCCCAAGAGAGAGGGGACGACCCCACCCCAGCTCCCTGACATCTCTACCCCAGCACCTACTCACCCATTGGGGAGGGACAGTGGTTGTTTGTTGTAAATAATAAATGCCATATTTGAATATTAAAGTTTTGTTCCTTTTACAGCCTAGGAGTTGTGGTGTTCTTCTGTTGTTTTCTGTAGGCATGTGAGACACAGAATCTCATTTCTCCTTGAATCAAGAACTCTTCCGGGTCATCAGCTTATTGTATGTGGGAGAAGGGAGAAGGGCCAGTCCCTTTCCTGGCTAGTGGAGACACTTCCAAGTCCCACTAACTCAGAGGACAAGTTCATTTCAGTGTCATTCAGCTCCTCCAGGAGCAGACTCGGCCTCCCACCCATTCTCTTGGGATTTAAATGTTGAAGGTACCTTCACAGGCAGAACAACCACTGAAATGTGGGTGACTTTAAAACAGCACTACCCAGGACCATGTCGTGCCACAGGCAGGGGCTGCCCTTCTGCATTCTGGAGGAACAGGGAATGTTTTCTGTTTCTCTTGTTGAGGTTTCTTTTGACCAAATTTTAGGAACTTGTAGTTTTCTAGTTCAATCTCTGGAATTGCATCAGCTCTAAGTGGGGAAAACAATGTAAAAAGATCAAAACGTGCATGTGGGGAGTACAAGGCCCATGGAAGGTCATTTGCAAATGCACTACAGGCAGGCAAGCCTTTCCCTCCTCAGGCCCCTCTAGGGCCTCTGTGTTCACCCCTGACATAGATTTGAATCCTGCTGGGATCCTTGTTCAGGACTCTGAACTCCTTTTCCTGCTTGTTTTGTATCTAAGGGGAAAGATTTGTGATGCAGCTTTAAGGCTACCGCTGGGCCTTGTTCCATAAACATGACTGTTCTCTGTGAACTAGGATTTTCAGCACCCCTGCCTTCCTTATGCACTTGACTTTAGGGCAGAAATTCCCTAGAAGGCCCCCAGCCTCTCTCTCAGGTTCACCCTGGCTCTTCCTCCTTGGCTTGGCCTAATGGGTCACGGGTTAGCTCTGCTTTGCCAGGATAAGGGAACATAATCCTGGCCAGTGAGTGACCCGACACTCTCCCTTGCTGTCCAGGGTGACTTCTGAGCCTGTGTCATTCTGAGGTCCATGGGCTTAGACAGTCCTCCAGTTTACACACTCAGTGTTGGTGTTACCAACTCACCCAAATGGGGCAATCGGGCCCGAGCCCTTAAAGTGTGTTGTCCCTGGGTGACTGTGTTTTTTCCCCAGTCTTATGCTGTGGTTACATCACAACCTTCTGTGGGGGTGTGAACCCTGTTGGGAGCTTTGAAAGATGAGGCATGACAGGGGTGTGTGGGGGGTCCATCAGGGAATGCCACGAAACTGATGATCCATGGACGTGCACGAACACAGCCTTACCAATTAAAATACTGAAATGCTTCCCATCTGGTGGTGAACAGACACTGCTCTGAGCTCATGCTGAGAACCCACCCCAAGACTAGGAGCTTTCAAAGTGTTACGATGTGGCATTATGAACCTCATCCCTTGGGAACACCCTGTAAGACAAGGGCCAGATGAATCACTTGGCACTTGTGAGTTATCCCCTCCTTTCTGATGGCTGCAAGTGTCACCCAGACACACAGGCTGGACTCTGCCAAGGAAGCCTTCTCAGGACAGCCAGAAGCTGAGGATGAATCCTGGTTCCCGGCATCCCAGGCCCTTCCTGACACAGCACAGCCACCCAGGAAAGTGATTTGGTAATGGAAAGACTGGGATGCTGTACTTTCACTCGAAAGAGAAAGAGAAGTGCCAATAGCGAAAGCTTGATCCCTCAAATAGTCAATTAATTCCCAACAAGCAGTGGGTTCTTGTCAGATTACTGATGCTGGAAAGGTCTCTTTTGATAATAGCACAATCCCCCAACTGCCATGTCCACCTTTATGAGTCAAATTTCCAACACATATGGATCTAAAAAACTGAGGGAAATCTGTATTTCCTTAGATGCAACTCTGAAGTAGCATGCAACAAAAAACAGAAAAACGGAGACCTAGAAGTAAATATCTCATTTGAGAACATAGACAGAAAAGTGCTTTTGAAATAATATTTTGGAATCTATTGGAATATTACACAAAAAGAATAATCCACTTTAAGTAGGTTTTATTGTGACTGTGAGGGGAAAAATGGAATCATACTGTGACATTGATAACTCGCTGCTGACTTGAAAGTAAAATAAATAACATACATAGTAAAGGAAAATGAGAGAACAACGTGAAAAAGGAAGATCTCCTTGGTCTCCTCACCTGAAACCAAACCTCTCACCTCAGAAACAAACCACTGTCTATATTTTCTGTCACGCAGCAGAGTTTAATAAAAGAAACGTATTGTTATGTTTCAGAGTTTCAAGATCTCAAAGCAAGGAAACATTAGGGACGCTGCCAAGAGACCTCGCTGTGGTGCCTGCTCCATTTCATCTGCAGTCAGGACGTCCCTCTTGGCCCCTCACTTTCTCTGCCTCACTAGCAAGTCTGTCCGCCATCAGTGCTATCACCAGTCTCTCTCCTGTGCTCTTCACTGCCCTTTCCTCCTTCCTGACACCTTCCTCAGTCGCCAGAAATTGTTGGCAGTGGAGCTGTGGAATGCCCAGTTCAGCTCCTGGAATCATCTCTGCCAAATCTGAAGACCGGCAGGAGTGGGCATGGGACCTGGAGTGCAGACCACCTGCGAGCACACCTGGAAGGGATTCACCAGTGTGACTAGGTGCAAGTTTTTGCAACGCTTTGGCAAGATTGAAAGGAGTTACCAGTTGTCCTGCACTGCTGCAGGCCTGGAGTCCTTGTGGTCTCTCGGGCCAGCAGACCTGGTGGGGCTGGTCCAAAGTGTCCTCCCAGAGACCCGTCACCACCAGAATGGGATGGGATTCTA